ACTTCCCACGCTCCTGTTGGGGGCTAAGAACACGCTTATCTCCCTGAGCCTGGCCTTCATAAGTCCATTCCATCACAGAGATCTGTTTTAGCAGCCTGGCCCTTTGATTGGTTTCCCATAAGCTTTACAAAGGCCTCTTTAGTTTTGACTTTGGACAACAGCTCGAGGATAGAACAGACTGTGCGGTCAGCAGGCTTTGTCTGGTTAGAAAGTCAGTTATATTTTCATTTTTTAGGTTTATCAAGTTTGTATTCCCACCCTCGTCCTGTGAAAGCTGCTGTGCTGATTGCAGCAATGTGTTGGGGGGGGGGCACGTCCTTTTCCATAGAAGAGGAGATCTTTAAGCTGTTGGCTTTTGATCTCTGCTTGTAAATCCCACTCTAGAGGATCATCTCCATCAGAAGGACTGGAGAGGATTGGATTACTCACAGGAGGTGGCTGCCTGCTTGTTAGGTAACTGTCGACTTACAGCTCTTCTGTGGGCTTGGCTGTAGCTTGCGTGGCGGAATGTGTCTGGGGTCTCTTCTTTCTTTTTCCCATGATGGTTAGTGATGTCCCTGAGTTTTCTCTACTCTTTCTATATGTGGAGGGTTCCGATAGGGCAGCACAAGGCTGTCACACTGAAAGCGTGTGTGGAAGGGTAAATATAAAGTAAAATGGGCTGGTATTTAAAACAATAATTAAGAAAAAATGATAAAAATAATAAACTTTTGGAGGAGCTCTTTACGGCAATTGCTACCTCATTGCTGTCTTGGTTCCTCATCCGATTATCTTTATATGTAATAGTACTCATCTAATGTTACTTTGAAAATTCTTGTTGTTTTACACAGCTTGTAAATCTATTTCTTTTCTTGTTTCCTGATTGCGCTTTTATGTGTACGTTAAAGTAAAATAAAAATTTAAAAAAGGTGCTTCAACACTCATACTCCTGTATTAGATTGCTGTCTCGTGACAAATTTGGAGGAATAAACTCCAAATGTCCCACTTTCTGTGGTAAAGCAAGCCTCATTCATTCATTCATTCATTCATTCATTCATTCATTCATTCATTCATTTTTCACATTTAGTCACCACCCATCTCACTCACAAAGCCTTCCTTTGCGATCTAGGAGCAGCTTTTCAGTGTGTAAGTAGGAGTATTGCTGACTTTCACACAAGATTGTTGGGGGATGAAGTATTTCAGTTGTTAATAAAATGCTATATACGGTTAATGACAGCCTGTCTTTAATTATTATGTTGGAAATATTAAAAATACAGAAAATACAGTGCATTCAGAAAGTATTCAGACCCCCTTCACTTTTTTCAATTTTGTTATGTTGCAACCTGATTTTCAGTTGTTAATAAAATGCTATATACGGTTAATGACAGCCTGTCTTTAATTATTATGTTGGAAATATTAAAAATACAGAAAATACAGTGCATTCAGAAAGTATTCAGACCCCCTTCACTTTTTTCAATTTTGTTATGTTGCAACCTGATACTACAATCGTTCAAATTCATTTTCTTTCTCATTAATCTACATTCAGGACCCCATAATGACAAAGGGAAAACAGAATTTTAGAAATGTTTGCAAACGTATGAAAAAGGAAAAACTGAAAGTGAAATATCACATTGGCATAAGTATTCAGACCCTTTGTAACACTTGAAATTTAGCTCTAATGCCTCCCATTTCTCTTGATAGTTGCTGAGCTGTTTCTATACCTTGATTGGAGTCTACCTCTGGTAAATTAAATTGATTGGACATTTTGGAAAGGCACACACCTCTCTATAGAAGGCCTCACAGCTGACAATGCATGCTGTACGAGAGCAAAAGCCATGAGGTCAAAGGAACTGCCCGCAGAGCTCAGAGACAGT